AGATCAGGAGCTCCAGGAAGAGGCCTGGGAACCAGACTGCAGAGCGCCCTGTGGGAATTTCATGTCCAGGGGCATCTGGTCTACCAGGGAGGAGGCGCTCAGAGCACAGACGGTTCTGTCCTGGAACCTTTGCTGTAAGCCCCGTCGTGCTCCCTGGACGCCTCCTCCCCAGCCCTCCTCACTGCTGCTCTGCCAGAGGGAGCAGGGGAGCCTGACCCACTTGGGTCAAAGCCTCCAGACCAGGCCTTGGGGGCTGCCAGGGACCTGCTCTAAAGAGGTGGACTGAAGTGGGGGGCGTTGTAAAGAGTAGGGGCAGCCAAATATATGGTGAGAGATGATTTGACTTTGGGTGGTGGGCACACAATGCAATATACAAATCATGTGTCATAGAAATATGCACTCGAAGCCTATCTGATGTTATTAACCAATGTCACCCAACAAGTTAAAGAAATAAAAATAAAGTGATGTGTTGCATCCTCCAATTGGCCAGAAGGCAGGTGGAGGGTGTGGCAGAGATGATGCTCAAAGAGTGGAAGACGAAAATAAAAATAAAAAATAAATAAATACAAAGGTGGCTTGAGGACCCACGTAGTGGGGAGCAGATGACCCAGTGCCCCAGTGAGCAAGACCGGCCTGAACAGCAGGCCAAGAAAATGCTCGCTCGGGAGCCGTGGGTGGAGGCCTGGCTGGGGGGAGGGGGTGCAGAGCTTGCAGGGCCCCTGGCCCCTCCCCGAATCCCGGCTGTCAGATCTCAGGGGAGATCCAGTGGCGTAACCACAGCATCCCCTTGGCGGAGCCAGGGCGGGACAGGCCTGCAGGCGGGAGGGAGGAGGGAGGAGGCTTCTTACATGTAGTTGCGGACAGAGTCGGGCAGAATCACCACGCAGCGCTGGCCCTCCTGCAGCTCCTGGGCCGCCTTCACGGCCACCGACATGGCGCTGCCGGAGCTGCCACCTGCCGAGAGGGCCAGAGTCAGACCCAGGCCCCGGGTCGGAGGGAAGTGAGCCCGCAGGAGCCTGGTCCCCCCTCCTCGCCAGGAAGCGCTGGAGATGGACACCCTCCAGCCTCTCCCAGCACCCGCCCCCACTTAGACCGCCATTGATGGGGAGCCCCCCCCAAAGGACAATGCTGGAGGGTGACTGAAAAAGCCAGATGTCCTGAGATCGCTGGCCCCAAAACAAATACACCAACTACAGTGCTGCCAGGTCTCCTCTGGGCAGCCACCCCGCCCCCGCTGGTGACTGCGGGAGCGAAGCCAACAGCTGCTTCCTCTTTCCGTCAAGCTCTCCGGCTCCCCGGGCCCTTCCAGGACCTCCTGCCACGCCCCGTGCTCCGGTGGTTAAACACAGGAAACAGAGCATGCGGCTGCAGGGACCCCAGACCTCTGGCCACACGGGGAAGGGGCACTCCTATCCCGCCTGTGGAGTGACCGCCGATCTGAGGACAGGCCAGCGGACCTCCTCGGGTTTGAGTGGACGGACGGCACCCGGGCAGCCCCAGAATGAGGGCGCCCTTTACAAATCTGGACTGGAAGCTGGCAGAACGCAAGCACCCCCGCGTCCTCTGCACCCCGGCCGCCCAGCGCCTGCCCGCCACTCACCGCACAGCAGTCCCTCCTGCGCAATCAGCATGCGGGCAAAGGCAAAGGACTCCTCATCGCTGCACTTGAACCACTGGTCCACCACCTGTGGGCAGGACCAGACTGCCGGCTCCAGGAGGCGCTCGGGCAGGTGTGTGGTTGGGGTGGGGGCCCAACAGCCGTGTTCACAACCTCACGGACGCCCTCAGTCCAGGAAGGTGTGACCCTTAACGGGCACAGCCCGGCACCTGCTCCAGAGTCTGAGACTCATGTTTACAAACCTGGAACTTTCTACCTCTCCCTGGTCCAACACATTGTGCACGTGGCTATTAAACCGCCCGCTGGCTCCCGTGGCACAGTCATATGTCCTGTGGCTGGACTCTGTGTCCCTCAGAACGAAGCCCCTTGTGGGTCCGTAGGAGGCCGTTCTGGGGTCCTTACCTCTCCGTTTCCCCTGCAGGGGCCTGATCTGTGCCCACGGCCAGAGCTAAACTGCTGGGAGTCTTTGCCCAGTGGGCTCATGTCACTACTTGGATATGGTGCGGCATGCCCCCTGGCCCCGACCTTGGACCTACCATTCCTCTACCTGCTCGTATAGGGTCATGTTTCTCCTCTCTGCCCCAACAGGAAAGCCAGGCCGGTGCCGGGGTCAGCCAGCCATGCAGACGTGCAAGCTGGTTAAAGGGCGACCCCTGAGGACGGGCCACGATCACTGCGGCCCCACCTACCGTCCGGTCCAGCACCGTGGGGATGAAGTCATAGCCAATGCCCTCCACCTCGTAAGCCGTCAGCTCCGTCCGGTTCAGCTCCTCGGGCTCAGCAAGGATGGAGCCTTCGGGATCCACCCCGATGATCTACAGCGGGGAGACCGTTAGGGCTCGTGCCCAGCAAGCTTAATGTGGATGTTCCCGCCCTCATTGGGGCCAAGACCACCCCGAATGGGCACCTGTTGATGATCTGCCCGTGGCTTGCAGGTCTCGTGCCTGGCTCCGGGGCAAGACTGGAAACCCAGAAACCTGGGAGCCAGGGTGATTCCAACTCAGGGGCAGCTGGGGGAAGGGGTTCCCGGGGCAGTTCCCCTGCACAGAACTACAGGACAGCCTGGCACAGGCCCTGGGGGGCAGTGGGGCCTGGAGAACAAGGCGCAGTGCTGGGCACTGACCTCTTCCTGGGCTCAGCACCACCCACCAGATATTTCTAGGAGCCCCCACCCCAGGCCCCTCAACTCCAGGCCCCTCCCTCTCAGAGCCCCAGATGGGGCAGACGCAGGACCTGAGCCTAAAAGCCGATTCATAGTGACCTTTGGGGGCCACCACCCAAAAGGACTCCCACCCCCAGTCCTCTGGTCCCTGGATTCCTCGCTCCCGGGCAGGGCCGGCAACCCCCCGGCAACCTGGGGCACTCACTTTGCATCCAGGACACTTCTCCTTCAGTTTCCTGGCGATGCCCGTGATGGTGCCACCGGTGCCCGCCGAAGCCACCAGCATGTCCAGCTTCCCTGAGGGGGGAGAAGCCGTATCAGGAAGAACGTTCTAATAAGTGAAAACTTCCTCGACCGAGATGAAGGCAGGTTATCAAAAAGGTCAAACTGTCCGTTTCCACGGCTCTCATCACAGTGCTTTATCCTTAAGCATCCATCACCGGGTCACAGGGCCGCGAGCTTCATTTGCGTCTCGGCCCCGGGACCTATGTGGTGTAAGGCCCGCCAGGCGGTGCAGGAAGGACAGATGCGGTGGCTGCCTGGGGGGACGGGGCACAGGGAGGCTCCTCACGATGCACTTTCTTTTTCTTTTTTTTTAAAATATACTTTTATTGATTATAGAGAGGAAGGGAGAGGGAGAGAGAGAGAGAAACATCAATGATGAGAGAATCATTGATTCACTGCTCCTACACACCCCACACTGGGGATCAAGCCGCAACCCAGGCATGTGCCCTTGACCCGGAATCGATCCAAGACCTCCTGTTTCATAAGGTGACACTCAACCACTGAGCCACACCGGCCAGGCATGGTGCACTTTTTTCTGCTGTTTGCTTTAGACGATGACAAAAAGGTAACTAAATTATGCAGGAAACAGAATAAACCACTCGGGCTTGGTTCAGAAATCATCTGGGCTCTCTCGCTGCGGAGCACCAGCCCAGGCATCCTGCAGACAAGTCCACGCGGGCCCCATGCCGAGGAGGAGGGCTGTTTATGCCAAATGAGAGAATTCTCACACATAAAACTTCGGTGAGCAAATGCCTGGATCTCCCTACCTGGCTCCTGGGCATGGACGGAGCTGCACTTCAGCCAATGCCAGCACTAGACTCCCAACAGGAGTCCAGGGTGCCAACGCCCTGGCAGAATCCCCTCATCTCTCTCAGGGAAACAGCCCTTCAGAAGGCATCACAACCCCACGGCCTTGGCACCAGTTACGTGGCAACGTTCCAGGGAGCCTCACGTCTGAATGGAGAGTAAGCTAATCATTGGCAGTACCACCCAAGCTCGGAGACGGGAAAACCTGAACGTGGAATTCAAGGCCCAAGTCAGGGCTTGATGCCTAGTGCCATTCAGCTGGAAGTCCCAGCTGTGAGCCCAGCCCAGCCAAGGACAGACTCACTGCCGGCACTCGGGAGCTTCTGCAGCTGGGCAGACCAGTAAGCCTGCCTGATACTGTGCAAGAGAGCAAACGGAAGCAGAAGCCGCTCTAGAGAAACGCTCTGGATAGCACTTCACCGAGAGGGGACATTTGCTCTGGGTTTTGAAGGATGAATAGGAGTTTACCAAAGAGTGGGTAAGTGACTTGTACCCTCCCGGGCACCCAGGGAGAGCGGCAGTGAAGGGGGAGGGGGCGAGGGCGGACGCACACACCGTCACACTGCTGCAGGATCTCCTCGGCCGTGCTGTCGTAGTGAGCAATGGGGTTGTTGGCGTTGCGGTACTGCAGGGAGAGAGCAAAGGGGCTGTGAGAGGAAGTCAAAGACACTGAAATGGCAGCAGGCACAGGGCTGCAGGCAGCTTAGGAGCCTCAACAGACACGAAACATTAAACCCAGCCCTTCAGATGCGACTTCTGAATAATCCAGGAGCGAATAAGTGAGACAGAAGAGCTTCCAGTGAAAAAGGTTTTCAGACCCTCAGAGGGCTTCCGGGGCCCTCAGCAAAGGGCATGCCCACCCGACGCGATGAACTGAGGGCTGGCCGCACGCTGGAGGTCCTCTCCAGCCGGGAGCAGCCCCTGACACGTGCCACCCACTGTCAGTCATCTCAGCAGCCCCCATTCCCGCTGCAAACGTGGCACCACCCCACCCCGATACAGCCCCCAGGAGTGCCCCCTGGGCCCACACTCTGAACGCACATTCGCCCCCGGACCAGCCTCACCTGGTCCAGGATGTGGGAATTGGGGATCTCGTTCTTCAGCCTCCACGCCACCCCCACATGTGACTCGGGGGAGTCGAACCTGGCGTTGGTGGGCGTCCTCACGATCTCCGCCCCCAGCGCCCGCAGGACGTCTACCTGCAGGGCAACATCGAGCGTTTACCCACCTGCCAGGCCTCCTGAGCTGGGGGAGGGGTCCCGGAAGGCAGGCCCGCCCACCCACCTACCTTCTCCATGCTCATCTTCTCCGGCATCACGATGATACAGCGGTAGCCCTTCACCGCAGCTGCCAGGGCCAGCCCGATCCCTGGAGAAGACATGGTGAGACCCTGCCCTGTGCACCTGCAGCCCATGGAGAGGGCACTACAGGATTCCCCAAAGCCCCACAGTCCCCTCTGTCCTCAGGGCTAAGAGAGAATGCGGAGACGAAACAACAGGGAGTGCGCTCACAAGAAAGAAAAGCCAGGTGCAAACACAAGCGCCAATTCCTCCAGCTTCTGCTGGGTGCCCACGGCTCGATGTGGGTGCGTGAGGACCACAGCGGGCAGAGCACACACTGTGGGCTGAGGGTGGGCACCCGTGGTCCTTGAAGGAAAGGGAGAGTGGCCTGAAGGCAGGCAGAGATCAGCAGGGCAGCCTCCCTGGTCACAAAGTGGTCAGGGCCACTGTCCAGATGGCAGAACTTCGAGCATAAGAGGATTGGAGTTGTAAGATCCAATGGAATCTGCCCGACTGGGCTTCAGACTGCTGGGGACCAAGCACCCCTCCTTCTGTCTGGTTTCTCCCTTTGAACAGGAGTGTCCGTCCTATGCCTGTCCCACCGCTGCAGTGGAATCCCATGACCCGTCGGGTTTCACAGGCTCACTGTGGAGAGGACCCTGCCAGGAGGACTCTCCCCGACGCCTGGTGGAGATGGGACCTCGGGCTGCAGAGATGATGCTGGAAGGGGCGGATGTGTTGGGGCCACTGGGATGATTAGCATGTGAGAAGGGCATGGATTTGGGGGCCAGGTGGCAGCGCTATGGGCCGAATTGTATCCTCTGAAAGTCCCACCCCTATCACCTCAGAAAGCAACTGTTTGGAGATGGTCTTTGAAGAGGGGAGAAGGTTAAATGAGGTCACGGGGTGGTTCCTCATCCATAGGACAGGCATCCCCAGAACAAGAGAGGAGGACACAGACGTGGAGAGGAGCAGCCGTGTGAGGACGCAGGGAGGAGACAGCGTCCACAGGCCGAGGAGAGGCCTCAGGAAGAGACAGCCCTGCAAATCCCTGACCTGGGCCTTAACCTCCAGGACGTGCTGGTTAAGCCGCCCCTCGGTGCTATCTGCTATGGCAGCTGGAGGAATCTAAGACAGATTTGCACTCTCAGGGGTAGCCGCTCATGGGAGCATCCGACATCATCAACGCAGGCCTGACTGCGAGATGTCGGAGGAAGCGGCACAACACGCAGCTGCTCGCGTGCACTCGTGCTGAGCAAACTGCAGGAAGAGCCGCCAGCCAGGCCAGCGCAGCAGCCGAGGGTCACCCCAGCCCGGGGTCCGGGCCTGTCCCAGCGCTCACCTGTGTTCCCAGACGTCGGCTCGATGATGGTGTCCCCGGGCTTCAGGATGCCGGCGCGCTCGGCCTCCTCCACCATGCGCTGGCTGATGCGGTCCTTCACGCTCCCGCCCGCGTTGAAGAACTCACACTTGGCCACTGGGAACAGGAGACGAACCATGAGACCGGAAGGCCCCGATCCCTATCTGTCCCCTCCCCCACTATCTGATCCAGCTTGATGCAGAGCGAGGCCTGGTCTTCGCTGGTTCTATACATCGGCCCCCTCTCCCCTCCACCCACCACCCCAGCTGGCAGTGCCATGCAGAGGACCATGTGGCAACTCCGAGGGAATGAGACAGAGGCGCCTGCAGGAGCCCCACCGGGCGGATGGGTCAGACCCCCTCCAGCAGTCCCAACAGGAGCTTGCTGGGCCGACAGCCGTCAGCTCATTTGAGCCCCATGCGCCTGTAAGGCCCAGCCACACCCAGCGGCCCCTGCCGGACAACTTGATGCCCCGAAGCCACTGCGCCCGGATCACACCCCAGACCAGGCCCCCAAACCCTCCACCCCTGCCTCCCACCGCCCAGGCGCTCCTACCCTCTGCCACGCTCCCTGCCCTGCAAACACGCTGCCCTTTCCTGGGCTGAGGCCTCTGCTCTGCTCTTTCCTTAGGACGACTCCTGCCCACCTCCTAAGAGTTTGTAGTGTTGGCAGGAGGAAGGTGCTGCCCCGAAAGGGATCTGAAGACTCTGAAGACCTGGGCCAGCCTACGACACCCACAGCCCCACAGCCCCCGCGGGGCGAGCGCAGGAGGGGGAAGCAGGTACTCACGCAGCTCACACTTCAGGCCAAAGTTCTTCCCGATCTTATTGATTCTCACCATGGGGGTATCTCCAATTTTCTTCAGGATATTTGGCAAGATTTTGGGCGACTTTGCCCTAAAACAGAAGAGCCCATGATTATTCAGAAAAACAAAAGGATACCAGCTGTGGCCGGGCAGCACATTCTTTTAAATAAATCGAAGACCTGCCCTGGCCGGGGGCTCAACTGGTTGGAGTGTCGTCTCATCTGTCAAAAGGCTGCCGATTGGGCCAGGCCGGTGGGGTGTGGCGCAGTGGCTGACCATCAGACTATGAGCCAGGAGGTCATGGTTCGATTCCCAGTCAGGGCACATGCCTGGGTTGTGGGCTCGACCCCCCAGTGAGGGGCGTGCAAGGGGCAGCTGATCAATGATTCTCTCTCACTGATGTTTTTCTCTCTCTCCCCCTCTCCCTTCCTCTCTGAAAGCAATTTTAAAAATACACATATGTTTTAAAAAGGTTGTGGGTTCAATCCCCAGGGGCCCTGAGACAGGTAAAACATGCTGCCTTCCACCCGGGGGTCCAACCACGCAGCCACGCAGGCATCCAGCTGCCCCCTCCACTGTGGAAGGGGCTGAAGGGACAACCAGGCCAGAGGCAGGCGTCAGGGTGAGGGGAGAGCCAGGCTGGGGCCAAGGGCTCCTGACCCCACTTTGGAGGCCAGGTTCCTGGGGCCACGCCGGGGTTGGTTCATTAACTAGTTAAAGCCAAGGCCTGACAGAGGTAAACACCTGCACCGTCACGTGACGGTGGTGAAGGTCACACCAGCCCGGCAGGTGGTGGCGGCCAGAGCGGGCTGAGGCCCATCCACCACTAGGCAGGGGGTGGGCAGGCAGAGAACCCGGGTTCCTGCCTCTGTCACCTGAGAATCTTGCCTGC